AGCAACACAGCAGGCATAGCCACAGCAACATGCGCTGGTTGTGTTGAGTAGTTGTCGATGTAAGGGTACTTGTTTTGGGAAGCCTTCATCCACAGGATGGAAGCTCAAGTTCCTGCAGCCTTTCCCCTCTGATGTCGTCCATTTCCGTGGGAGTTGGCGGTCCTTCTGTCGAGGTTCTCGTCGCATCTGCACCGCGCTCTGATGAATCCTGAGAGGCAGGCTTGACGAGTTACGGTTGGGGTTTACTGTAGGCGGGACAGGTTTTCTCGTCGCGTGCGTAGGTGCAGAGGTGTGTGTGTGTGTGCGCGTGTGTGTGTGCGTGTCTGTGTGTGTGTGTGTGCGCGGGTGGGCGCGTGTATTCGTGTGGTCGTGTTCGCTGCCATTATGCTTTGAGGTGGAATAAACAAAGGTGTAGATGTGTGTAATTGGTAACCGAAATCAAAACGAATAAAAGATCACCAAATATTGAATCAACAACACATTTTCTGGTACTGGTATAGTATATACTCAGATGCTGTGTATGATGCTCCTAGGCTAGTACTCATAATAACGCACAACTGATGATTCCGTTTTGCTTGCAATCAATGCTTCCAGTGCCCTCAGTTTGTTGTAGTGCGTACATGTGTACATGGGCTTTATAATAGGCATAAACAATGTAGATGTGTTTAACATACGTACATCTATACACGTACGTTTGACATGCTTGTTTCCCGATGCTTGTTTGTTTAAGTATTTGCTCACTATGATCTGCGTTTGGTTGTTGATCTACGCGAATACGGCTTGTTGACGACCAGAAACATCGAGAAGCACTGTCCTTTCCTTACAACGTGTGCATGTGTGTGTATATATATATATATTTATTTATGTTTATATACTGGAATGGAATGGAATGTATTATATGCACGTATGTAAGTATGCATGTATGCATGTATGTATGTATGTATGTATGTGTCACATGATGTGCAGCGGCCTTTTCCACACATATGGAATCCTGGAAGAAAGCACGTAGGCAGATTCACATAATTAGGCATTCATTTCACGTTCGCTGTACTGGCTCAGCCCTCCGATGAGCTCACACATGGTTACGTAGAAGTAGCTATGCAGACTCATGTGTGCGAGTGTGTAGACAACAACTCCCCGCAAGCTGGAACATGGCATACAAATTGTAGCAAGTGGGACTCTGGGTTGAAACCTCAGCAGTTTCTGGTCACTTCAGTAACATGGAGTTTCCTGTCAGGCCACAGCAGCTCCTTGAGATGTGTCAGGGGTGTGGCACCCAGATTTGGCCCGCCGAATCAAGACCTTCGAGTTGTGCTGATGTAGGGTTGTTTCTTTCGGATTATCCATGGAGTGATCTGTGACAAACTCTGGCCACATCTTACGGTGCAGTGCCGGGGTGCCCTGACACCTCGAAGTTGCCATGAGAAGCAGAGCCCAATTGGAATCTCAGTTCTGGTGGTTTCGAGCCGTGATATCGAAGAACACTTCTGTTTAGGTTGAGGCTTCCTTCTGGGCGTTCATCTCTTAACCTCCAAAGCCTCTTCAGATTTTCTTGGACGTGGTGGCTGACCGGGCGATGGCCACGCTGCGCCAAGGCGGTCCATGAGGCGCGACGGCTGGGTCTCTGGCCTCTTAGGAGTCATGAGCCTCGTTCCTCTGTTCCATCACGAAGATACCGGCAATAGTTGCAGTAGAATTTTCCTGTGGAAGCATAATATCAGTGTTCCATGTTTATCTACTGTTCGATGAATGGCTGCGCCAGCGTAGTATCCCTAAGCAACTTATGAGTCTTATGAGGGTCAGCATCGTGTTAGCATGTCTCATTCACCTAGCTGCGGTCGTTGTCGGGTTGTTGACTGGTGCCAGCTTCGCAGAATGCTGTACCGACTGCCATTGTACGGCCACAATACTTTTCGGACACTATCATCTGTACAACTAAAAAAAGCCCACTCCTGTGACTAAATATTGACAGAATTAGAGGCATGGCTCGGAACCGGCAGCATAGCGAATGGATCCCCATTAACCTTGAAGACCAGACACAATCAGCCTTCTAGTCGGAAAAGAGGCCGCCACATGCAAACAACAAGTGTTGAATACAGGGTATACATGGGTCTACTCTGCGCAAGATCCAGGTGCTTGTGCACGGTTCTATAGATGTCGGGCACGGCGAAAGGCAAATGTTGACCAGCAGACAAAGTTCTGTATGGATTGTCCCACATCACGGACCCCTACCCAAAACCCGAACCTGAACCCATAGCCTTATCTCTGGCTTCCCGAGTCGGTAGCACCCTAAGCCTCAACTAAACCCTAAGAGCATGCACCCAAACCTAACCCTTAAACAAGCGCTCAAGCTCTAAAAGCCCAGTCTGGAGCTCTAAAGCCATAGCGCACCCTATTCATAGATAATATTGTATTCATATGACATCATACGTGGCAGTAAGTATATGTTCATGAGCAAATAAAGAGGTAAACCAGCATGTCTCATACATATCTATCTATCTATCTTTCTTTCTGTATATGCATGTGTGTCTATGTGTATGTTCTTACATACATACATACATACATACATACATGCATGCATGCACATTTATATACACATACATACATGTGTGTATATATATATACATGCATGTATACATACATACATACATACATACATACATACATACATATATATACACAAATATACATATATACAGCGAATCCCAGAAAGTTGGAACACATGTTTAGGAGGACTAGTGCTAGGATCCCTTATACTCTACCTTACGGGCATGAGGACATTCATGTTCCAGCTTTCTGGCTCCTACTGTGTACACATGCACACATACATACATACATACATACATACATACATAGATACATAGATACATATATATATATATGTATGTACATATATGTATGTATGTAGAGACACATGGATGTAGAGCAACGCCAGGTGCAAACTTCGGGCGCCGCTTTGGGCTCTCTCTTGTCCTGGGAACATGTCGAGCCGGCTCTGGATTCTCGGGGTGAGGGCTTAGGATTTTGGGCTGAGGGCTTAGGTTTAGGGTTTGCCATGATGTTGCGCTGTAAGCGATGAAGCCTATGCCACACATGTGTGGATGGCTCGGTGCTTCGGAACGAAAGCTTTGGGGTTTTTGTGTAGACATTAAAGGGGATCGGTACTGGTCCGGGCTGGGTTGAGGGACTTAGAAGTGCGCTGGGCGGTGACAGGCTAGTATAGGGCATAGCTTGAGCATTTAATCACGCCTTCCATGGATTTGTACGGGTTTATAAGGGGAGCTCAGAGATCAGAGGTTAGGCTTTAAAGTTTCTGGGTTGTGGGGCTTAAGGTTCCGGGTGTGGGATACTTGTGTGTTTAGGGTTTCTAGGTGTTGGTTTGTAATTGTAGGGCTTAAGGGTTCAGGGTTTAGGGCTTGGTGTTTATACACGTGGGGCCAGGATTTGGGCTTGCTGTTGGTTTCCTGGTATGGCGGTTTTAGGACCACAGGATATAGGGTGTAGGTTTCTTCTTATTGCACAATCGGTCGACTTTCGTGTAAGGTTTGCCACATCCAGCGTCCATGGCAGGGCAGCTGCACACTCGCCCATGCACAGCAGTGGTCAGCATGGCTGTTTATCCTCTACGAGGCAGGAGTTTTTCACAAACCAGGGGTCCTAGCTAGACCCTGCTTGTTCGCGAAGGTGACATTGGCATTCACCTTCTTGGACCGCTACGATTCACTGGTCACTCGTGGCCCTTCCTCGAACAAGGCAAGGCCGTGTAGACCACAACGAGGCCTCAAAGGGCGGCCCTCCAAAATATAATCCCCCACTCACCCTGAACACTTCCTTCTCAGGGCAGGGCAGCTGAAATCCAAAACGGACATGTTTGCACCGATATTTCTGGATGTGAGAGTCACACAAAATTTGGACGAGAAGGCCAGTTTAGCTGGAAGATCGCAGTCGTACTTCGATCCACCCAGTGATCTTAACCAGAGTTATTATCCCGATAATGGTTGGGCCGCACGGAGGCAAGAGTCCAATCAAGCCTCCTTTTGACTGAACCAGCCGATGATATTAGACTTGAGCAGACTGTAGGCCTAGACTCCTACAAAACCCGAGGCATAGACTTCCCCTGTGAAGCTATCATGTAAGCCTTAGTGTACTCTCGCGGGTTCCAGTACTTTTCGTGCTGGAAGCATCAATGTATGCGGATCCCTGACAAATATCATATTTGTTGGTATGGCCGTAGGGATCTAATGCTAGGTCAGGCGCGTGTATCAGCAGTGGAGCCTGCCAGCCCAAGTCGGAGCAGCGACAGGATGACTCAGGGACTTTACAGGAATTTTTTGTAGGTCGCCATATAGAGGTTTTTGAATTATTAGAATCTGCTGATAGTCCGTATATAGCTATACAACAATATACCCCAACCCCCTGTTCTAATCATTACGGCCACCCCTATGTTAGGTCGTCTCTGTTTCTTGGTTCGGGTGCAGAGCTTTTTGTGGAGCTGCGAAGGAGGCATGAGGACGTTGATGCTGAAGGGTATAAATCACAGTAGCAGGGGTCACAGAAGGATTTAGATCCGCATGCATGTGCAGATGAGAAAGAACATTAGAAGACCAATCACCATGCAGGTTATAAAACAGGATAGCAGAAAGGCATGCAGGGCCTGCCCCGATCTCTACACTGTACACTGCGGTAGCCGGGCAAGATTTTGATCCTGCTTAGTGGAGACGTCTGAGTACTAGCAAGTGTTCAAAACGACTGTGTCTAGCACTGTTTAGCGCTTCTGGATTAAATCCTGCACTGGAAATCCTTGCCGTAAGGCCCCGCTCCTCTAGTTAACGCATTCAATCTTCATGATCTTGTTTGCAATCCCAAACATGGTTTGAATCGTGAGTGGGCTTTTGGGCAGAAGATACATCGATGAACCTTCGCCTGCTTTGTCGCTACTTTGCAAGTGCTCCACCTCAAGCCCTATAAATGCTATGTTCTGACCGTAGGTGTTGAACAGCATGGCCTTTGTCACCCTCCTGCTTCATCTGGTGGTGTCCTGCAGCATCGTGCTCTCCAGGCTCTGGGCTCAGTAGTTGGCGGTGGAAGTTTCGACAATGTTGGGTCAGAATGCCGCCAGTTTCCCAATCAAGCCACTACAGGCCATTTACCTTTACCTGATCGGAAATACGGAGCTGGTATCCTTTCAGATTATCAATGGTTCATATATTACAACTTACAACATAAGACTTTAAATAGTAAAAACACATATACTATAGTTTATAGCCTTCAGAATGATGCTTCAGAGTTGCCCAGCCAGCCCAGAGTGCTGTGAGATTCCTGCAAGAGAGGTCGTCGGAGGTTTGCGGCTGAGCCTTCGATTGGCGTTCCGGTTCGGGTTGGGGGTTGCAGCCTTTTGTGGTTTAGGGTTTAGGATTTAGGGATTGAGGCTGAGCCTTCGATGATTTAGTCAGGGTTTAAGGGCTCAGCCCCTGCTGCCCGATGCTTCGGGCGTGGAGCTCTTCGGTTAGGCCCCGTTCTTAATGCGGGCTCTGTCTTCGCCCCGGCCGGGCATGGAAGATCCTTAAACATCTCCTGCGCACCGGATATCGGGAGCTTGCCGGTTTTTCGTCTGTGATTAGATTGCTTCGTGGTTGAGGATGCTTTCTCGATTGGTGTTGGCGTCTGTGAGGACTATGTTGCATCAGCTGACCACTCCTTCTGGTCTTTCGCACTTGACGATACTGTGGAGACGTTGGCGGTCTAGAAGGGGGGGGCCCTTACTGAGGTCCTGAATGGTATGTCAGCCGCAGTTCGTTTACAGCGGACTTGTAACTCTTCCGCTGCAAGCGCAGACCAAGAATTTCAGTTCCCGCAAGCCGTCCAAACCCTGTAAATCCGGGTGCAGGTGCAAGGGAGATCCGCCAGAAACCCTGGTGCCATCAGTTCAACAATGGCTCGGGCCTAGGTGGTGCCCGGACATTTCGTTGTTGTCTAAACCGTGGTTTGGGCTTCAGGGTTTCAGGTTTTCACGATGACAACGTTTGAGGTCCAGGGCTTCAGGTTTAGAGTGTAGAGAACACGTGTGCATTGTGCATCGATAGAGAGAGAATAGAGAGATAGCATATAAATATATATATACACACGCATACACATACATACACATATGTATATATATATATATATACACAGTTATGTACGTACATACATACATACATACATACATACATACATACATACATAGATAGTATACATGCAGACACGCATGCCGACACGCGCACTTCCATTCATCCCTCCGTTCCTCCGTCTATCCATCCATCCACCCACGTACCCACCCACCAAACCACCCAGCCACCCACCCATCCACCCTGCGAGCCGTTCAGCCTGCCAGCTATGCACATGTACTGCGCAAACATATGTAGAGATATGTCAACTCTTGATTCCTGTGCTGGCCGTGTGGATAGACATGTTTGTTGAGTCGAGTGTTTCGTGCGCTGAATGGGTGGTTCGACGAAGTGCACATTTCACACTCTTTTCTGTTCCTGCCAACACAGACATGGCTTCGGAACGTTGCTGGCCCTTTGCCGAGGCTTCTGTACGTGGCTTTGTGGCCTGTGCTGGCAGTGCTCGTGTCCGAGGGCACAAAGCGTCGCGACAGGCTGCCGAGGATTGCTAGGAAGCTAAGTTCGTTGACCATTGTTTCTAAGCATGACGATTCTAGGCGAATATAGAACAACTCCCGTGCCATATGGAGCACAGAGTGCCTACCTCTAGTCGGAAAGTCGAAGCTTTCGCAGTAAGGTACTACACCCATCTGCAAGGTTCTGCACCAGATAGTCCCAAAGCAACGTGCTGTCATCAGTCTACTTCGTTTTGTTGGTATGCTGACTATTACTTCTGTGACTATCAGCACTGGTGCTCGATTCGTTATCACTAGATAGTTTTATGCTATTTTCCCGTCTTGTTAACAGTCTCACGGTTGTGTCGTTTTTCTGCGAAGTACTGCCCCTGGCGAGGCGATACCACATGCACCTTCAGAAGACTCTGCGAGTGCTCTTCAACACTCGACTAGGCCATGGCTCAGGGTCGAAGACCATTTCTGCTGAGTAGAAACCCCGCAGGTCGAGTCATAGCCCAATTAATTGGACTTTCCGTTCACAGTCTGGTCTAGATGCACTGTGTTAGCTTTCTTGTGCCGTGCATGAATTGAGCACTGAGCACCCCCACGAGCTGAGTCCCGTACTTGTGTCGACAAACTCCCGGCGTAACATCTTCTAGCAGCACCAGCCCCATCCCAAATGCACTCTTTCACAGAGCGAAGAGGGACAAGAAGACGCCAGACGCTCAAGGCTTCGCTTTGCTGGGACTGCAATCCAAGGGGCATGAACTCATGAACAGGAGATGTATGGAAGAAGCACTGCGAACCAGACCAGACGTTCAGCAACTTCGCCGTTTCATTCCAAACGGAGTGCATCACTGTATGCGAAACTCAAGCCATCCGATTGCAGAGGACAAAGTCCGAAATTCGGAGCCCCAAACCCCGAAGCCTGAACTCCAAAACCAGAACCCTGGACACTTCGCGCGTAATCTGAGCCGAACCCTATACCCGAAACACTGCACCCCCAAGCAACGTCCTCAGAGCCATCATAGCCTTAAGTCCCAAGCTGCGCAAGGCATGTGGAGCCCGAAGTGATTGCAGCACAAGCGATCGGTCTGCTGGCATTGGCCTTTGAACACAAGTTTTTCAATCGAAAGGCGTTTAAGAACATGCTTTGCTTCCCGGAGTGCTTCTTCTGGTCGCATGAGATCCAAGTTCTGAGTTGGGTTGGGCACTATAGGGGGTCTGAAACAAGGACGGAGAGCGTTCAGGTTTTCCCGTGCACCTGGTCAGCGACTAGGACTACCACGACCACCCCACTGATTATCACTGCTACCATCACTGCCACTTTTTCGAAAAATACTACTGCAACGACGACGACTGCGACCAGAGCTACTACTGACTGCTAGTAGCCACTTGGACTATCATTTAGGCTTCATGGGCTGACGCCAGCAGCAGTACCACCACGTTCTTGGCTGCACTGCGGCCGCTGTACAAAGGCACGTCTGCTGTCAGAGCGTGCAGAACTTGGAGGTTTCCGTGGCCAGGTGAGGGCTCATGATCGCTGGAGGCCTTGGTACAAAAGTCTCGGGCTGAAGTGCTCCTGCAGTAGGCGACATAATTTTGTCGAGTATTTGTGCAGGATTCAAGCGGATTTTCTAGAGCCGCTCTGGTGTCTATGTCAAGTGGTCTTAGTGGTGACAGTAGTCAAACCGGTCTACCTGAGATATTTCAGCGCAGTGCCAAGCTTGAACAGCTCCCAGAAGGCTCACATGGCCACGCTGCCTCCCAGCAAACGTCCGTGGTGGGAAGGATTGCCCCGTGGCGCAAAAGCCCGGCCTCTCAAACCCAACTAGTTGCCATCCCCTCTTTTGGAAGCTACAGGGAGGGCTCAAGACGCAATTTAGGGTTAAGCTAAGTCGCCGGAACTTTGAACAAGTAGACGATGCACCTTTTGCTTTGAATCATGGTCTCTAGTTCGAGTATGCAGAGGCGAAGACGGCTAGAAGGAGTTGTAGTACTTTTTCTTCTTTTGGTTCCTCCGGCAATCTGCAGGACAAGATCTAATAATTATTGTGTGCATCTCTGAAAGCACCCCGGGCCCCGGTGGCAGGCGCCCATGCAGTTGTAAAGAAGAGGATCCTTGCAACAAGCTTCCCTAGCTGAGTAGTCCAAGTACATCAAACTCTCAAACTCCAGATCATGCTGAAGTATTCTGGGGTGTTAGTGTCGGAATTCAGTCTGTTCGGTTCTTCGGAGTTCTTCGTCACGCAGACAAGCCCGCCAAATCCTGACCGTAGCCCGGTCGCTGCGAAGGGCTAAAGCAAGTTCTCAAGTTCTGTGGCTGATCCTTCCCGCTTCCCATTGCCGGTGCCTCGCCGACAACGGGCTTTTAGATCTTGGGCGGTGCCGCCAAAAAAGACTTGCGGCTTGCGCTTTATGGTTGAAGGTCCTTGGACTGAGGACAGGTGCAAGACACGCACGCACACGCACCCGCGCACCCGCGCGCATTGAACACACCACAACTGCCAGTCGTCTCAAGTCATCATTGTGCCGCGACCCGGCACCTACAGGACCTCGCTGCAGGCTGCAACTTCAGAGGTTCGGAGAAAAAAGCGCTTCATTGCCGGAGCTTCTGCATTTTTTGGCTCAAGATGGAGCTTTACACCACCTCGGATCTCGTGGCGACGGACCGTATAGAGTTGAGGATCTTTCGTCTATCCACACATACTTCAGCTCGTCCTAACTCTACCCCCCTAAGCCTGTAAACACCCCGAGCTGCAGTACTCACGTCTATACCTGTCTCAACCAGTAGACTTCTTACAACTCGTTGACTGCAACATGTTGCGAATCGCGCACGCCAGATCCTCAGCATCTGAGAGGGTTCGCAGTTGTGCAGCAAGATTCTCTCATAATGCCGAGTATGGTATAACACATGCACCCGCAGCTTCAATCTGCCAGAGCTTTGCTTCAGGGCTCAGCGTTGCTTGGTGGAACAGGTTAGACAAATTGTGGCTAACAGTCTGTCGTCAAGCACAGTGATGGCGAGAATTGTACAGCAATCTCGAGGGTGCAGGGTTCAGGTATAATTAGCGAGCATCGTAATCGTCAAGGTTCGAGGGGGGTCGTGTCCTGTCTTCGTCAACACTTCCGATGCAGAGCTCCAATAGTTGCTGCGTCAAACCCAGCTTGTTCGAGTCTGGGCCTCATTGTAACATCAACGGTCACAGGTGGTGTTCCCGGGCTTCCGGGGTTTGGGAATTCAGGCTGTACTTGCAGCTGGTGCAGAGGCTGTGCTAGTCCCGGATTTCGTGGCTCCTGTACAAGGAGAGAAGCCCATAGAAGTTGGAAGACTCCTTAGCATGGATTCTGTTTTTGTGGTCGGCAGCTTCCGAAGGCTCCTAAGACCGTAGCTAACTACCCGGAACCACGACAGCAGCAGCAGCAGCATGAGCAACGACGTGCAACGGCAATGATAGTTAAGGGCTTACGATCTAGGAATCTAGGATGCCGAAGACGTGCAAATCTGTGACTGTCGCGCAGCGTCGAAGAATTTTCTTGTAGAAGGTTTAGGCCAACAGTGTGAAATGTGTTTAGGGTCTGAGGTTTGCATGGTTTCGGATTCCCACTGTTCGACGATGATCCAAACCTCGGGCCCCACAGCAGGAGGTACAATCATCCCATCACGCCTCTTACAGATAGTCATATAGTAACATGAATAGCAGGTAGGCTGAAAGCCCATGAAACGACTTCGTCGGTCCCTGCATGATAATATCGAGGACAGGCCCTGCACCTCACGAAAGAAGCTGATGCGTCCATGAGATCAGCAAAGCAGGTAAGAGAGGCGGCGTAGTGCAAAACCCCAGCAATACCGGAACAATACCCATAGTCAGTTGCCTCTGTAGACATGACACTGCCGAAGGGACTTAGCGACTAGGGCCGCATGTGGAAAGTCGCATGGCGGCGCAGACTGGAAGCGTGACTTGGGCTGGTTAAGGCTTTCCATTTTGCCATGTTGGCTGGGAACCTTCAGACCCATCCCAGTATACCCAAGAATACTCAGTCAAACCCTCAACTTTGCCTAAGCCCTGGTTTCTAAGTGTCTACCAATGGGTCGTCGCACTTACTGGTTTGGAGCTATGAACTGGGCTGCTTCCACGTCCCCTCCCTTGGAATGTAATAGTAGGAACAGGGGTTGAGGCGACCCTTCCTGAGCAGAGGTTTGAAAAATTGGTAAAAGTATTCCCTTATAGGCTTAGTTGTTACAATCCCTACACATCCCTATGTTCTTAGATATTCTTAGACCATAGAATGTTCAACACACATGGGGGTCTCTAAATGAGGCATCTCTGCAACCTCCGGAGCACTTGATGATTTTTTGGCTGATCTTCAGAAGGTCGCCAAGAAGCCCCTCCCCCAAGCCAGGGGCTAATGGGCCCCGTAATGGAGGGCTTGAATAGGTACCGATTCAATCTACTATTTCTGAGGCCACTCCTTAGTACCCCTAAAACCCTCCCAAAACCCCAAACCCCGAAACCCCAACTCCTCACCTCACCCACCTCGGCCCTACAAGCCCCCAAGCCGAACCCCTAGCGGCGCGAAGCGAGGAGAGGCTGGCGCGTCTGCGCCAGCGCCTCTTCCCCCGGGCGGAGGGCCGGGAAGATGCTCGACGATGTGTAGTATATAGGGCTTTAGTACAGCGTTTTGGGTTTAGGGTTTAGGGTTTCGGTAGTTTGAAGACGGTGATGGGGAATATATTGTCTACAGTATAACAATACAAGGACTCTCTAAGGGGATGCTATGACGACGAATTCCGACCTCTGGATTAGGTTTGGCATTTGGAGTTTGGGGGATTTGTATGAGAAGCCCCCTTTGGGAGTTGATAGGGCTTGGGGTTTGGGGGCGTATCGGGTTTAGCAGACCTTCATGCTCAGAATGCTTGCCTTGGCTTCGGGCTTTCAGGTTTCCTTTGGAAGATCGCTTGGCAGCTCTGGGAGGACATGTTGCAGAGCGCTTGCCAGCTCTTAGCTGTGTTTGCTGTTACAGCCTTGTAGGCTATGGCCAGTATTGTAGTTGCGCAATATGTTACGAGTCCTCGGTCTGCGCAGTTCTCGTGCTAAACCTCCTTTTCACCGAGGATGCAAAGGGACAACTCTTTGTCACGGTGATCCGTGCGACGAATCTTAACCTGCCTGCCTTCCGGTGGTTTCCACCACAGGCCTGTCCCAGAATGCTTCAATCTGTCTCGGTATGTGAATAGCCCGACTCGTACGGTTGGGTCTAATTGGGTTAGGTACTAGTACTTGTACGCGGAGTTTTAACTCGTAGAGCGCCGCAGAGGCGGTGGTCGCCTTGGGGCACCACGAGCGCCGGTCTCCCTTGGGAGAAGCTTTCGGGGCCCACCCCATCTTCGACTGGCGAGCGGAGCTTCCTTTCACAGGGCACGAGTCCCACCTGGTCTTCGAAGTGGTTTGCGAGGAGTTCCTGCTGGGAAGCTGCTTGCTGCCCTTGCAAGAGGTGCTGAGCGGGGCAGCGACGGGCGCCTTCCGCCGAGTGCTGCCCTTAGCTGAATCCGGAGAAGGAGAGCGCCCCGAGCTCTACGTCGTGGTGACTACGACCTTAGATGGTGACGTTCGTGTGCCAGTCGTTCAGGAGAGCGCTGCGAGGCAGCTGCAGGCACGCACGTCGCAGCTCCGGGTGACCCTGCGCTCCCTGCGTGTCGCCGAAAAGTTTGCTGTGGATAATGGCACCAACAAGATCTTCCCCTATGTCTCAGCAGCCTGCGGCCAGCAAGTAGGCCGGACAATGCCCGCCTTCGTGATGGCGAGTCGCGAGGAAAGCCAGGGCCAGAGGTTCGTTTTCACCGGTTTGCCCAGCAGCAACTTCGAGTGTGGAGAGCTCCTCCGGGGCCGATGGGACAAGTACCGGGCGGCGCCCTCCTCAGAGGAGCGTCATTCGTCCCAGCCCCAATTCGGGTATCGCATGAAGGTGGAGACAGGTGGCTTGCAGCTTTCTTATTGCAATGTGGAGTTTACTTTCTGGTACCAGCAGCAGGAGTTGTTGGAGCTGTCGGTGTTCGATGACATCTTTCTGGTCTATCCTGATCCTCTGGTTGCCACCGGTGCAGTAGACATCAACGAGGCCTTCCGCCTGGCCTTTGCGGAAGATGGCACCTTGCTGGACGACGATGGCCGGCAACCGGCCGTGGTAGTGCGTGTGCCGCTGTCCTCGTCCATTGCTTCCTTGCGGCCATCAGGCACCCTTGGCAATGCCAGTGCAGGGGTCGCCGATGGTGGAGATGGTGGAACAGGTGGCAGCACTAGCTCTCACGCTGCCGGAGAGATCGAGTTGCAGATCGAGTTCTTGGAGGAGCCCGTGGCCTGCCCCACAGCTCTGGAGAACACCTTCCGCCGGGCGATTCGGGCTCGGAAGGAGGCCTCCGATCTGCATCATGAAAGCTTGCAGTACCTGGCAGACATCACCGAGGGTGACATCGCTGCAACCGGCCTCCCTCCTCTCGAGGACCCAGTTTAAGAGCTCCTGGGTTTGGACCTAACAGAACTCCCAGCATCAAGTCAAAGAGCTGATGTGCGCTCCGTGGAGGCCATCTCTCAAAGTCTTGTCAGCTCCCTGAATCCCAAACCCCTGAACTTGGAACCCTCAAACCCTGCACTCAGCCCATGGTAACCCTACAGCACCATGTTTGGAGTCATGGTAAACCCACGCCTGACAAAACATCTCTCAAACCCTAGAAGCCATGGATAACCCTTTGGAAGCCTTTAATGCCCAGAGCTTGGGAGGGTTTAGGCTTTGGGGGTCGTCAAGGACCTCTTCCGCGAGCAGCGACGCGCGCTGGCTGTCCTTTGCGCTTCCTGTGCTGTGGCCACGGCGAGAAGGCGATTTCTTCAGGCATTAATTTAGGCCTACTGAAACTTAACGTGTATTTCGAGTTTGTAGTGGTAGTCGTTCGCAGAAAAGCTCTGGGCGGTTTATCGGGCTTGTGTTTTTGCCGTAAAGGTTTAGGTTTAGGCCTCTCGGGGATACATGGCTTTGGATCCCCTTTGCGAGACTACCGACTTTGGAGGCAATCACACGCCCACAAAAAACTGACAGCGAGTAGCACATGCTGACAACGAGAAATTGGGTTAGCCTAACCCCAGCCCCCATATAGTTAGAATAGGAATATATAAGTATATAATGCCAGGTTTACCCAAAACCCCGGCGTATTCAATGCCCTGTATTGGCCGAATCCACTGCACAGGCTCGCCAGCCACGAGGGCCGTGCAACAGTGCTTTTTGCAGATCGTCTTCACAGTGGCTTGGCTTCGTGGATTATGACTGGATTAGTACTACTGACTGCATTACAGTCACCATCATCATCAACATGATGATTAGTCTCATCATCGCCACCTTCTATTGCAATTTCTGGTTATACCCTACTAAACCCACCCCCTAAACCCTAAACCCCTGCACCCTAGCTAAGCGCGGGGGTTTCGGATTTCAGGTGTCACGGAGGGTCTTTGCCAGCTCCTCGTGCCCGATGACTCGGAGTTAAAAGAGCCTCGGCTGTGGTAGGGCCGGTCAGGGTTTAGGGTTTAGGGTATCCTCCTTTTCATTTTCAGATTCAGGCTTCCATGTAATGTAGAAGCCCCAAGACTCGATGCGAATGAATGTCGGCCCCTAGAGTTGCTTTTCGTGTCTGGATATAGATCGCATCCCAACAACAAGATAGGACCCTGCAGAAGGTATCAAGATATCTAAAGCTCGAGAGCCTTAGTGGCTTCGAGGTTGGAGTTTCAACGCTTTAGGGTCTCGGCGCTGAGGAGGTCTGGAAATTGAGGGACTACTATTAGGCGATTGGTTGATGTCGTACGGATAAGTGTATCAATACTTATAGCTTACAGGTATACTTAGATACGACATTTGCCAGATTCTCAGAAATTCCTGCTTCAAGATAGTCTTCACTGCATAGTATAGCAGAACCACTGTTCGAAACACCGGCGTCCATGCCCAGAGTATGAAGCACATGTAGCCCAATTAACGTAGTCAGAAGCTGCCAGAAGCCTACCCTAAACGCCCCCAAATGCTGGACTGACAACTCTACACCTGAAAGCCTTGTCACGGCGGCAAGGAAGATCTGCTGAGCTCTGCCCGTAGTGCGGTCACCTACAAACCTATCGAGGAGGCACACGGGAGACGCCCTCCACGCCTGACAGGCATTCTGTCTTCGGATGCATTGGAGATATGATTATAACTTACAACTTATAACTATACTCTATATTTTAATACAGGCGAAAATATAGTTCGAAAAATGACTATACATGAGTGTATATCTTCATTCCCACTGTGTGTGTGCACAGCTGATGGTCATGACGGTTCTGACGATGGCCAGGACGAAGAAGCTACGATGATGATACACCGTAGAAGAACAGCTCCTGGCCCGAACCCCTGCCCCAAGCCCGGCTCCTTGCAGGCAGCAGAAGCCTACCGTCAGAATTGCCGGCCTTCCGGCTCTCGTCTGGAGCTGCTGCTGCCCATAGGCAGGGATGCCTGTATATTTCAGAGAGCTTCATTTCATCTCCTTCGATCACGTAATCACAGCCATGATGCTACCAGCAGCTGTGAGATGATGAAGGTAGTGGCAATTCGAGACTCAGCCAACAGATGCGAAGCCACGCGCAGCAGCGTGATGCTGATCCTAAGTACGCAAGGGTCCATGATAGATATCATAGGTGCGATGCCTCTTACCGCCTCGTTGCTACTCTAGGCACCTTGCTCGCCTCATCTTCCAGCTCTGGCGCCCTGCTGCGCGTTTCCCTGAGGAAGGCCAGGCTGAGAGTTTGGCATTTCGCTCAGAGTATGCTACGGGGGGCAGACTAAAACTCAACAGTGTTCCCTTTTTCGTCCCTTAAGGTTAGCTGTGCTACAACATCCACCCTTCTAATTCATGAGGCCCCTGCATCAGCTGCCAGGTCCTGGGGACACACTTGACAGCCTCAGCCCCAAACCAACGCTGGCCTGAGATGTGGTTCAGGGTCAGTTTCAGGATCTAGGGCTCTGTAGGGTCTAGGGTTTTGGTCCAGGGCTCGCGACGGCATGTAGGCCCTTCGTCATGACATGTCGGGTCCCTCTTCGAAGGATGCCCAAGCCTTGACCCCTGAATCCTTTCTGGATCGAGGCGGCAGATGCAATCGAACCGGCAAGCTGCACTGGGCGGCTCTTCTTCGAGCTACTGGCAACCTGAGCCACAAAATTCGTGGTTCAGGTTCCGGGATCCTTTGGGGGTCTCTCGGGGGTTTCAGGTATTCTCGGTTACGGGACATTCATTCGAGCCTGTGGTTGGGACTAACTTGAGACGTCGAGGGGAAAAGCCCTCACGTGCTGATCAGTCCATCTCCAGCCAGCCTCGGCTTATCACGCAGGGCAGGCCACACCCACACCAGCAGGAAAGGCAAGAATCTGCATAACCTCCGAGATCTGAAGCATCATCACCATCATCATTCTGATCATCGTCAAATCGCTACTCATCCTAAGCCCTCAGCCCTCGGCTTAAACCTGATCACCCGTTGACAAGGCTCGCCAAGCACAAACTGTTCAATAGGCCTTACATATTCCAAACTCAATACCCAAACCTGCCCTCCAAACCCAAAGCCCAACAGCTTCCAACCTCAAACCCGAAAACCCCTCAGCCCTAAAGCCCAAACCACGTAACTCCTAAACCCGTAAACCCCCACAACTCCTGGCCTTAAAGCCCTAAACCCCAACACCCGAAGCCCTTAAATCCTCAAGCCTAAGCCCCTAAACCCCTTGAAAAAAACTTATAACCCATAACCCAAAACCCTAAATTCTCTAACCCCTAAACCCTATAACCTATAACGCTAACCCTAAATACCCCAAACCCTAAACAACCACTGAAGCTCCAGGAAAGGCACCTTGCGTCCCTGGGCCGCCTTGCTGCGCCCGAGGCACCCCGGCTGGAGCTCGCCGAGGTGGCGGCAGGCGCCTTTTTTTTTAGTTCTGGGAGGGGGACGAGGGGGGTGGGCGTTTAGGGTTTAGGGTTGATGTGGGTGTATTGGGGGTTCGGGAATTTCGGGTATTTCTTAGAGTTGTTTCGGCATTTAAGCCAAGGAAAACCCTAAACTCTACCCCTCCAACCTGTAAACTGTAAGCCCGTGTAAGCTCCAAGCTTTAAGGCTTTACTAAGTTCTAATACACCCCAGGCCATAAACCCTAAACCCTAAACGACTCTACAGAGCAGAAGGAGCTGAGCCCAGAGACTTGGCGAACGAGGAGGCGGCGCCCGTCACTTTTGAACAGTGCCACGACTCGAAGTTGAGTGTGCTTAGGGTTTTCCCTATTCCAATCATTAAGGCCCCTATACTACTGATTAAGGCCCCTATACCAATCATTAAGGCCCTTATGCTTCTACTAATCATTAAGGCAAGTTTAGGGTTCGGGCTTTGGTAAGCCAGGGACCCAGAGTTCGTTCACATTCAGGGCAAAGCTGAAGGGAAAATGAAAAGTACATCCCGAAGCTCCTTGTAGTCATGGTGCTTAATGATGCGAGCACAAAGGCAAGACCAACTTCGCCGTGGCCGGGCGGCCATGTACACCAATTTCTTCCCTGAGAGCCTCGGCTGGAGGGACAGGGGGTTTCATTGGCCTAGGGGACGGTTCTGGCCCTGGAATTGGATCAATGATTCTGTATTATTTGGGTATGCCCCGTATATCGGTCGTGTCAGATCATCCGTTCGAAACCACCGTTTCTGGGCTGAGCCCGAAAAGGATTGGGTTCAAGGTGTTTACATAAGAACGTATTGCAATGACAGTGGGGGTGTCGGCTTCCGATCATGTAGGCCTGCAACATCGTTGCTGTCTTCATTGGTATCCTGCTGGGCTCGTGATCATCACCAACATCGACAGCAGCACAGAACATGCCGCTAGGGGCTTTCGTCCCCAAGCGATCAGTGAGTGATCACAAACCTTGGCTTACAAGCCCATGTTAAGGAACCCGGCTTAAGATTCCCGCGACAAGTGCAGGGAAAACGGTCTGTTCCAATGCATACATACATGTCACGAGAGTAAGTTCCTGGGAAAGGGAGCCCATATGACTGAGCGAAGGATCGAGTGGAGCCGCCTTCTGGACAAAAGCCTGGACGAGGCCAAGGTTCCGATCGTTCCCGGGAAGTATCGGCAGCCCGGCAGTGGCAACATCAGGTTTCGGGCTCGTAGTAGACTGGTAGGCCTCAACCAGTCCGTGCTCACGGCTTTCCAACTCTCGACGGCTTGCATGTCCAGGAGTCTAGGGCGTTTCTGCTGTGGCTTGGAGTTCAGGGCTGGGTATCGGGTTCGGTGGCTTGGCTCCTTTAAAGTCGCAGCCAAGAGCCCTCAGCTGGCGCTGCTGGTGTTTGCCGTTTAGGGTTTAGGGTGTAGGGGTTATTTGGGTCTGGAGGCACCGTGAACCTCAATTTGTGACGTAGGGTCTATTTTATGCTGCCTGGCCACTGTAATTTTTGCGTTGTTTGAAGACTCCTTGTGGTCCTAAGAGGAGAGCACCCGAGGGTTCCCACTTTGCGGTCTATTTTTGCAATTTGCGACACCAGATACCCGCTCCTCAGCCAAGGTACATCATTCCATCGTCCCTGGCGCTGGGCGGCGTGTTTGGCGCACTCGCGCCGCTCGCCAGAATAGAAAATGAAACTTTGCTGCTTTAGACTGCTCGGTGGTTTCGTTGCTCAAGGGACATGGTTCACCCCTAACATGCCGGGCCCAGCAGTAGTGAAGGGAAGGGGTCCAAGACAAGCCAAGACATTGTTTGAGAGACGCAGGTCCATCTCATACATCGAGACGGCCGTGATTTTGCACACGCTTGACGAGGAGGTTCTTTGCCGCGAGGCCCGATTGTGTTTGCAGAGGGTGGCTGGGTGCCCCGGCACTGTTGGGGACTTCTCGAGCTCCGAAAATGAAAATGCAGCCCAAACTTTTGATCTTTCCTCAAGTCCTCAACGGGTTTGACCGCTGTCGTGATGGGTTTAGGCGAAGTGCCCATTAGCATAGGCATGTACGCTGCATGGAAATTACAGTATCTTTCTGGCATTGCAATGCATGCTTCCGGTGGACGAGGCTCGGGTTACTGTGAGCGACTTACCTATCTCCCTTCACAACTGATGCGCCCATATATGTACGATGCACGAAAGGCTTTGGAAAGAACGGGTGTAGCTTTGGAAAGTTTCCAAATGCGCAGCGACAGGACTACCACCACATGGCGCTAATGCGCGGGGCCTGCTGGCTGGTGAAGGTCTCTTGGCCCTCTTGAGTTGACTCTGGTTGTAAAGGTCGCTGCACATTTCTCAAGGGTCGGCGGAAGAGAGGGAGGGGCGGCCAATTATGCCGTTTTCGGGGGCAGGAGGGCTGATCCTTGAGATTCGAGAAGAGAAGGGTGAGGCCGATTCTCTGCGCCGTGCCTTCGCTCCATGCATCGGCTTGCAGGATGTTTGACTTGGAGTCCTCAGGGTGAAAAAGTTTTAAACCATCAAAACTAACCAAAAACCCTTATCCACAAATCCTGAACCCTAGCTGCTTTCGACCCCAAAGCCCCTAAGCCCGAAATTCCGAGTCCTAAGGCCCTAAACAGGCTAAACCCTTACGAAGGGGCTGTGTTTCTTCGGCCTTGGGGTTCGAGTGTTTCGGGTTCTGGGCTTCCATTCCAGGCTCGGAGCGCATGTTGGACAGACCCAGAAGTCTGAAGTTTTGGGTTTTGGGTTTTGGGTTAAGGGAAGCTTAAGGAAACGACTCTGCGTCCCGGCGTCTGAGGGTTTTTAGGAGTTCTAGGGATGGCCTACACGCAGAGACTTTCAGAACCCTGGTTTCTGTTCTTTTGCTGTCGCTGGGTTTTGTTGCCGATGCCATCTGACGTAGAGCTTGAGCAAACTGTCGTCACACGCATCTCAGCTTCAGGTTTGTAAGGTAAGTAGCAGTGACAGGTCGTTGTAACTTTGGTGACGGCATGTATCTGTCTGTCTATCTATCTATCTCTATCGCGCGGCTGACAATGTTTGCCCGGTTTATTCGGGGCTTGCCGCGAGGACTCGCACGTCGATGGCTTCATGGAGTGGGTCGCTACTTCACCTGCCTGGTTCAAGGCCAGGCTTTCTTCCAATTCTGACTAGTGCTTAGGATCAAGCAAAGCACCTAAACATAGCCTGTTGAAACCCACCCCTTTGGTAGATATGTCACCCCAACAAGTGTGCTAGGTGCTCCTTTCGTCTCCTGTCTATGTCTGTCTCGGTCGGGTTTCCTCTCAGATGGAGGGCTTTAGTCGTTTGGGAACTTTTTGGAAAGACTTTCACCATCCTCGAACTTAAGCCCCCAACCCCGAAACGCTTTTAAAGCCGCCTTCCTTTCTTCTCTATGCAGGCCCTCTTCGGCATCTTCGCGACCTCCGGCGCAACGGCCCTGGCCTCAAAGCAGGACTTTGATGAAGGGCTCTGCGGCTCTCCGTCGTGCATCATCTCTGTACAGATAGACAAAACTAAGTCTATGTTTTGTAATGTATGCTTCTGATAGAGAGAAACACAGCCTGAATGCAAGGAAACCCCTCCTACAGGAGGCCTTGTGCCGTGAATCACTGAACCCCCGAGCTCTCAAACCTAAACCCCGAACCCTTTGCCTAGGTGGTAGGTGGCGCTTCAACAACTACGGCGCCGGTATTTCCTGGTGCGCGAGCCACTTGCTTGGGATTTGTGGCTTTTGTTGGCTTGGACGGCTTTCGGCTTTCAAATTTATCCGATGCCGGCGAAGTACAAGCTTTATCGAACGTCTTGGTATACAGCTTACCCCAACACTCAGAGCAGTGAGCTGGACTACTCCCAGGCATTGCAGCACTCGGCTTTATGGCGCCCCCGTTACACTAGGCAGTGCAGCTCCAAATCCAAGTCCTCAATTGCTACCAGGGATACCCATGACCGAGCCTAAAACCTAAGCTTTTGACAAAACAGAAACAACCCTGACCTTGGGATTCGACTCTATGAGGATGAGACTGGAGCCGCTGGGCCCTTGCCTATCTCCGCCACCCGGCGATAGACTCCAGAAAGGAGGAAGGAGACAGCTTAAAGCTCGGCTCTAGGCATTTAGGGTTTAGGGGTTTAGGTTTGGGGTTTAAGGGGGTTTTCAGAGGAGGAGTGCAAGATGAGGCGCTCTATGTCCAGGCATTGATTTGGCTCCGGTTCTTCCGACGTGTTGCCAACCCAAGGGCTTTTGACGACAGAAGAAGAGGCTCGACCTTTCAACCCTGTATGCTTGCAGTATGGCCGCTTATGCCCTTGGCAAATTTGCCCTTGGCCCCAGATCCTAGTTGACACGGGCCTCTCCGGTAGTTGGATGTTGCATGTGTTGTGGGTCTTTGCAGTACGACTGCAGAAACACTTTAAAGTTTTGAATGAAAATGAATCTCCGCTGAAGGATCTGCAGATGATGAATGCAAGATCCTGATGTTCAACCTCGCTGCGCAGCCCACCACCCGGAGCCGAACTGCTCCAAACCCCACCTGGCCCTCGACCCCCAAGCCCCTGAACCCAAAGCCCTGACTAGGCTCCCAAAGCCCTTTTTTAAGCCGCGACGCTCAAACACCACCCAAACTTCACGAAGGTCGAACAAGTCGAAAGGATACTTCACTCCCTTGTTTCTTTGCAGAATAAATGGTGCAAATCTACGCCCCCGAACGGCCCAACAGAGCCCCCCGGCCTTGCTCTAAAGCTGCTAAGCTGAGGCACAAGGTCATCTGCGTGTCTGGATTCCTTCGGAGCCTGGCGGATGTCTGCCAGCCCTGGGCAGCCCTTGGGGTTGCAACAGGGCTTTAGCGCTCTAAGTATTTGTACATATGATAACTGCTGCGATTATCGGTACTGTTATGATGGTGACGATGATTATGAAGGGCAATTATGAAGGGCACAAGGAGTATTAGTATTATCCTTTTTTAATCATTATTATTACTATTATTATCATCTTAGTTACATGTTGTTATGATGATGATGATTATTACTGTTTTATTTGGTTATTTGTAGATCTAGGAATAGGGCATCGAGGGTTTAGAGTCTGGAAGGGGCATTTGTGTAGGATTCCGAACGATGTAAATCATGCTCCGTTCATACTGTGACGATTTGCTCACCGAGCGATTCAGGATTTGTTGTGATGTTACAGGGGAGCACCGGACCGAAGATTCGCTGACAAGATACTACGTGAGGCCTTGGATGCAGCAAAACTGTACTTTAGACATATTCAGCTCTTTAGCGAGCATTTCAGCCGTTGCAGCTCTCGGGCAGATGAGGTGGAGGGTCCCTGGACATCTGGTCAAGTTTGCTTCCTCCGCTTTGAGACGGAGGTGCCCGCAAACGCTCTGCAGACGTATGCGGATACCTGAGTAGGGCCAGTTGTGCTTCCAGGGTTTGACTTCTTTGAAGAACGTTTTTGTCAAGCCAGCTGGCTGCAGAAGAAGTCGTCTTCTCGCAGACCGCCTATTCTACGTGTCGTCACACTCACCGCAAACACCCGCACCCTAAACCCCTGCTAAACCCCTGCAGCCCAAGTCCAAAAACACCTAAAGCCTGCCTTTTTGTGGGCTTTGCAGGTGCTCTACAAGCTCGGAAACCAGCTGCGAGATGCTTTGGCCAGAGACACCTTGCTTGCCCTTACTGAATCATTCTGCGTTTTGCCGTCCAAGCTCAGCCTGGTTTCGAAAGAAAAGCCACCAATTATAAAGCCTAAAAGCCCAGCTTAGTCCTGAGTGGCAGGTACACTCACAGGGCCCGCCACAGACGCTCACAGCTGGAACAGTCACGCTCGTGCAGCCAAATTGCTACGCTGGTGGTGCCTTAAGGGTGTTGAGCGATGCTCTTCTGGCTACGGTGCCTCAGGATCTGAAGCGGACAGAGTATATCGCTTCCTTCCTGATGTCGCTGTCGAGCCTTGACTGCAGCAGGCGCTTTCTGCTCCCGGCTTCAAAAGTGTGCAAAACCTATGACTGCTTTGGATGTCCGAATTCAGGGGACGCGTGACGATGATGTTTTGCGGTTCACTTTTCACTGTGCTCTTAGGGTGATGATGCTGACGATGATTATCAGAATGCCTACCAGGCCTGCGAGGGCTGGCTGTTCACACCACCTCCATTGTAACCTTTGTTCTGGTCGTGTCTTGCTTGCCAGAGATGATGGTCTTTCTGTCGTATAAATAAATAAATAGATAAATCAAATAAATAAATAAATATATATATATACACATGTATGTATAGATGGATAGATAGAGTCAGGAGCAGCTGTCTGTTGCCATCATCTCCTACCAGCCGGGCGGTCCTATCGTCAACTGAGTCAACTGCAAGATCCTCACGAGTTGCTTGTGCACTCCGCCGATAATCTAGGGGCCTAAGTAGTTACCAATACTATTTTGGCTCTAGCATGAATTTGGGGACGCGCTGGTTCAATGTGCCAGCACGACAGTCCGACAGCAAGCAAGCAATACTATTTTGAGGGTTCCTTATTATAATTACAGTTTAATGGGCCCCAGAACTCCATTCTAATTGTTAAGGCCCCTGTGTAATGTGTCCTTCATCTTCCGTTGCTATCACTCTGTGGTAGGGCACCGGTGCCTTCGTGCAGACGACATTACACACAGAACATAGGGGGCCGCTCAGCTTCCAGGGTTTCGAGGTTTCTGATTTAGGGCTTAGGGCTTTAGGGTTTAGGGCTTTAGGGTTATAGGGTTTTAGGGTTTAGGGTTTAGGGTTTTAGGGTGTTAGGGTTCAGGCTTTGAGCCAACAGATGCACTGTTGGACCCAGACCCTAAACCCAACACGAGAGCTGGAATCCCAACATCCCAAAACTAGGACATTTTCAGGTGGGTGGTTACCGTTATAGGAGCCTTATGGAAGGTCTATATACCTGATAGAAGCCTTATGCAAGCCCTATATACCCTAAACTCCCCACCTGTAGTTTCCTTTCACCAAAGCCATGTCGAGACTTGCCCAGGAACCCCATCACCTTCCAACAGCGAGTGATCAAGACCGTGCTGGTTTCCGGGCAACACAGGGCTGAGAGTTATGTAAGCTTAGGGTTTAGAGTGTATGTAGGACTCAGGCTAGGCTCACTGATTCCTAGCGCTGCAGATGTCATAAGATGCACCAGAACTTTGGGTTGTCTATTGTTGTCGAGTGTAACTAGCACGATCCGACCCTGCTATTTTTACCCCTGAGCGCTGCTCTGCTTCTGGATCCTCGTAGCTTCTGAGAAATCTGCGCAGCCGACATCGAAGCCAAGAAAAAAACCCGGGCCAACCTCGAAACCGAGAAATGCCTTGAAGCCATCGGAAGACTGCGGACCAGCAGGAAAGAGCAAGAAGACAAATAATGGAACACATGCACGAGTAAATAACCCAAGGGTGACAGTTCGGAAACTCCGAAAGATGACAGCCGGGACTTTTACATTAAATAATGGTCAAGAGCCACGGGTTTTAAAGGAGATTCTTTACACTCCACGGCGACACAGCCGAATTGGGCTTTTGGGGTAAAGCCGTTTTAGCTCCTTTTCGTAGGATAGGCGGTCTATTGTTTCGGGTTGTGGCTTCGAGCCGAAGATGTCCCATGCTGACGACCTAGAATGCCCGAAACTGTAGGGTTTAGGGTTAAACCCTAAACCCTAAGCCCTAAAATTCAAGGAGGCCCGAAGGAATCGGAAAGCGTTGCTTTGCGCCCTTAACCCTCTACACGCTGAGCCTAAATCCTTTCGGCCCCCAGACCGCTTAACCCCAAGCCCTCAGCAAGCGCTGAGCCCCAAAGCATTGGCCGCAAAGCCGAAACCCCAAACCCTGACGGAACCCTCATACAACGCAATTCGAATGCAAAAATATAATAAGTAAAGCCTGTTAAAAGGCGTTTAAAACGAGATTAAGTTTAAAACTCTTAAGCTGCGCCTTAGGAAGAGCTGGGCGACCTCCTGGACCAGGCGTGCGAACGGGCGCGACAGGCCGCACCCCATGCTATCTCAATCAAGTCCTGCATACCGTTTTCGCAAAAGTCTGTAAAAAAAACCGACAAAGTTTGTTATGAAACCTGCATACATATAGAGGTTCAAAACACCAAGCAATCCATGCAAACCCTTGTAAACAAGCCCACAACATCGAAAATCCGAAAAAGCCTTAGGCCCTAAACGCTAAACCCTCGACCCGGTAATCCTAAACCCCTAAGCCCAAAGCCTTTCGGGGCAAGTCTCGCCTTATGGATGGAGTAAAGAGGCTCCTGCACTTTAAAAGAAAACAGTTCCCTATAGCACGGATATAAATACCGGAAAAGATGTAAGCAAAAAATCTCGGAAGGTCGGCCGCCTCCTGGCCCAGCAGCTCTTGGAGGCAGCGGAGGCCTCGCGCGGGCGGCCGCGCAGCCGAAATGGCATCAGATAGGGGCCTTTATAACTAAAATGGGGTTTTGGTGTATACTCTACAAAAATTATAAGAAGGAACCCCAATAGTTTTGGTAATTATTTGGGCCCCAATAGTAGATTAGGCTGTTGGGTGGTCCTCTGAGGGTATGACTTATTCGAGGGTACTTTAGGGCTCTATAGTAGGGTCCCCATTTAAGGGTTTACGGCTGTTCGGGATTTTTTTCAGGGATTTTTGGGGTTTTGGCCCGTTAGGCATGTGAATTAGGGCTTGGGGTTAAGGCAAGGCAAGGCATTTGACTTGTGCCGGTTCACAGACTTGGGGTTTGGGCTTTTAAAGATGTCCAACGTGAACTTAGAGTTTTGTGTTTAGGTTCAGGGATGGAGTCCATGTAACATTGAGGGTATAGTGGGTTTCAGATTTGGCTTCTCGGTGGGAGTCGCGGGTGATGAGCCCCTGCGAGCTCTGGTTTGGAATACGTGGCCCGTGTCTATTGGCTTATGAGTCGCAAGGACCGATTCACGAGACTCGAAGGGACCAAACCCTCAACATCTCACCGTCTCGGTTTCAGGTATGACAGGAGAGATGCTAAATGGAGGTGTTGGCTCTTGACATTGTCTAGCTGCCAAAAGAAAGGTCCACGCATGACCTTTGGACATGAGCGTTTCAGTCGTTGTCTAATCCATCTCTGCAAGAATAGGTCGGCCCACTCTTGTAACGTAACCTGAGATCTCGCGCGCTGCAGTTGGGGAAATTTCGGCAGCCGCATTCCGCAAATAAAACCCATGAACAAGGTGAGGGTCACATATTGACTATTCCCAGGTTCAGTGATGACAGACAGTTTCGGCAGTTTCTTGCATTTTGACAGCAAGTTTCGCCCCCTGAATCCACACACCCTTAACCCGAAACTCTGGAAGCAAACGGGAACCGTGATCTCAAGCCGACAGTGCTGAGGCTGACGGTGAGCTTGCTTTTTGGCTGCAATCAGTATCCCGCATCTTGTGTCGAAGCATTGTTTCTGAAGCAATGTCCGTAAGACTTCCTACTACTCATTCAACAACCAATCATGACCGTCAGACCACTACATCACGACGACTGCCATTACTAGCCAGACTGCCGCTGATGGAGCCCACGATGACGGCGACGACCTGGGCCACCTCCGCCACCGCCCCCACCACCACCGCCGCAACCACCACCATGACCATGACTACCTACCGCCGTTACCACTGCAACGACGACTGCAACCATTACTACGAGTAGGGCGACAGTACTTTCCTCGACACAGAAGTTGTTATTGCTACTCCCTCCTGCTGCTGCTGCTGCTGCTGCTGCTGCTGCTGCTTTTGTTACTGCTGCTGCTGCTGCTGCTAAGCTCATAAAACTAAATTAAACTACTACCATGCTGACAGCTCGCCGTCGTAGTTGTAGCTGAGTACACATCCTAGTCGGTTCTAGTCACCTCGATTTGCCGTTGCATGGCTGAGGATTTTGCTGACATACACTGCCCGAAGCCCTCGAATCCTACAAGTATGAAGAATAGAAATCCTAAGCCCCTAGTAACCTAGTAATTAACTCAATCCTACACGCATATATGAAGAACAGAAAACCTAGGCCCCTATGAGGACTATAAAGCCTGTGACCCGACCCAGGCTGGGCTTTTCTGCCGGTGGCGTGGTGGTGCAGAGCTGCCTGCAGGGCCTGCAAGAGCTCCGCAAGGAGAGGATTCCGAGTCTCATGCTCTGCTGGGGTTTATAGAGAGTTCAAAGTTTTGGGGCCTCAGGGATTTGAGGCGTGGGGTTCATGGAGCTTTCGGTATACACAATGGGATTTACAGCAAAATGTCCATGGTTCAGCTTGCTTGGGTGGCCTGTTGAATGTTTCCTGTTGATATTCCTGCACCCTAGACCCCTAAACCCCTAAACCCCAAACCTCCTAAACCCGTAAACCCTAAACTTCCTAAACCCTAAACCCCTAAACTAGGGTTTGGGTTAGGGTTTACAGGGTTTAGGGTTTAGGGTTTCAACCCCTCAACTGGGTGCTTGAGTGCATCCTTTTAAACTTTTTTGGGCATTCACTTTTTCTAGCAGGGTCTAGGACGCCGGTAGGACCATTTCAGAATTACTGGCAAGACTATCCTCACCTCTAAATCAAAACCCAAACTCCCAATAGCTCGTCACTTCTTTGCGTGGTTGGGTTATCTTGATGACGCGTGAGGCCACATTTGCAGGCAGGCAAGGTTCATAGCGACGCTGCTTTTTGATCCTTCGATGCAGCTC